AAATAGTCATCTCCTTGTAGCTGTAGCAAACACTATGATCCACTGTGGCAATTCGGAGATGGTTGGTGAGGCTTTGCATATATTTGTTTGAAATTTGCTTATTAAGTAAAACTTGTGAAATCTCATGAACTTCCTGTGTATTCAATCAGATTTTAAAATTCTAGTATTACATATTTAACCTTGGTGTTTTTCTAAAAATGAGGAAAGATTTGGGGTTTTTAGAAAAATGGTAGTTATATTTGTTTTTAAAATGTGTTTAACTGTGGGATTAAGTATCAGTACGTATTATTATTACATTACTATATTGTATAATCTCCTTTTTAAGTAAAGATAATTCTCCACATTAATGTTTCAATTCTTTAAATACAGGATAGTGAAGTTTTTATTAATGACAAAAAGACTGATAATTCAGAGGTTTTCTGGAATCCAACACCAGACATTAAGCAATGGAGATTAATAAGACACACTGTAAAATTTGAAGAGCAGGGAGACTTTGAATCAGAGAAGTAAGTATACCATTTTTCAGCTAATTTCATGATGATAAAGAGTATATTTTTAATCCCTTAAAAGTGTAGTCATTTTTCTCTGCCTTCAATTATATTTTAATTCAGCAAAATAGTTTAACATTTGTGGGATGTGTCAGGATTCTGTTGTAGTTTATGTGAATGTCAAATAAAAGAACTTCTAGGTTTTTTTGCATACAATTATGGCACTAATTAATGATTCTTTGGCAGCTGTTTTCTGACCTGGGTAGGGCATTTCGAACTCTAGGTGAAGGATATGGCACAAAATCTACTTTTGTTTCATTTTTTAAAAATAGATGAATACTGCCATTGCATGTGCAGACTTGCATTAGTTGGGTAATAATTAAGGCCATAGTTTCTGCTCTTAAAGTCATGAAATTCTTGATAGCTAGATCTGTAATCTTTTAAACCAAATATATTATATACACATTATCCAATTTTATTCTTACTATATTTCTTTTTTTTTATTATAGTTTTATTGATTTCAGAGAGGAAGGGAGAGGGAGACAGAGATAGAAACATCAATGATGAGAGAGAATCATTGATCGGCTGCCTCCTGCATTCCCCACACTGGGGATCAAGCCCGAAACCCAGGCATGTGCCCTGATTGGGAATTGAACCGTGAACTCCTGCTCAACCACTGAGCCCAGCTGGGCCTTACTACAGTATATTTCTTTGTGTTAGAAGTGGGTGTTTGTGTAAAAGACACTATACTGAGTACTTGATACACATTATGCAGTTTAGTAAACTCAAATGCGTTATCATACTCTCTAAATGATTCAAGTGTTTGTGTACTTTCCTTCTACACTTAAAATTGAGGTTGTCAAAGATGGAATAATATGTATGCACAAGTCCTAAAATTCTGTTTCAGCTATAACCACATGATGCTCTTCATTTAGAATGAAGTTTTGCCAAGGCATACAATAATTTTTGAGGTGAGAACATAATTTAACATATTTTAAAGATGAAGAAAACCAGTCTGAGGCAGTGTAAGTAACTTTAAGTTCATATCCAAGAAGTGATCTAGGATTCAACCCAAGTCTAATTCCAAAGCCTTTGTTCTTTCAGTCCCAACATACTGTTTTCCCAGATTAGTGGAATATAGATACTATATTTTTATTTTTCTGACATAAAACTAAACTTTAGTAGGGGGAAAAATTTTATCTCAGTAGTCTTTTCTGGTAAATCAATGGTTCTCAACACTGGCTGCACATTAAAATCACCTGGGAAACATTAAAAAAAAATACTTGTGCCCTAGCCAGTTTGGGTCAGTGGATAGAGCATTGGCCTGTGGACTGAAGGGTCCCAGATTCGATTCTAGTCAAGGGCACATGCCTGGGTTGTGGGCTCGATCCCCAGTGAGGGGCGTGCAGGAGGCAGCCGATCAATGATTCTCATCATTGATGTTTCTGTCTCTCTCTCCCTCTCCCTTTCTCTCTGAAAGCAATAAAAATTTATTAAAAAATATAAAAATACTTGGGCCCATTCCCAGATTCCTCTCATCTTGGGTCAGTACCATTCATTGCCATATGTTTAAGAGTCCAGTCCTAGATGGTTTGGCTGCGTCGGGCCTGTGGAGTGAAAGGTCCTAGGTCAGTGATGGCAAACCTATGACGCGTGTCAGAGGTGACACGCGAACTCATTTTTTTGGTTGATTTTTCTTTGTTAAATGGCATTTAAATATATAAAATAAATATCAAAAATATAAATCTTTGTTTTACTATGGTTGCAAATATCAAAAAATTTCTATATGTGACACAGCACCAGAGTTAAGTTAGAGCTCAAAAGGTTTGCCATCACTGTCCTAGGTTCAATTCCGGCCAAGGGCACATGCCTGGATTGTGGGCTCGATCCCCAGTGGGGGTCGTGCCGGAGGCAGCTGATCAATGATTATCTGTCATCATTGATGTTTCTATCTCTCTCCCTTCCTCTCTGAAATCAATAAAAATATATTTTAAAAAAAGAGTCCATGTTAATAAATTTCTATTGCCAAGAAAAAAAATTAGTTTCCACTGCTGCTCTACTCAAGGACCGCTTTTTATATCTGCACTCATTTCTAAGCATCTTAGTAGAAGCTTTGTCAAAGACAAAAGCACACAGGGGTATCATTTTCTTTAAAGGGGATTTAAACCTGTTCAATGTAGATTTGATTTTCTGTTGCTTTTTATACTATTTTTGTACATGTATTAGACTTTGGCAGCAAGTAACTCGAGCCATAAATGCAAAAGACCAAACAGAAGCTACTCAAGAGAAGTATGTTTTAGAGGAAGCTCAAAGACAATCTGCCAGAGATCGGAAAACAAAAAATGAAGAGTGGACTTGCAAGTTATTTGAACTTGAGCCACTCACAGGAGAATGGCATTACAAGTTTGCAGAGTAAGTAATTATCAGCATAATTTGTTGCCTTTATTTCTAGAATTTTTGTTAGTTTTTTATTAAGCCATATATATGTGTGTGTGTGTGTGTGTGTGTGTGTATAATGTATAATGTGTGTGAGTGTGTGTAAATTAATGTGAGATTTAAACTTATTCTATTTATTATAAATTTGAATCCATGATAATTGTTAGTCTATAAAATAAGCTGAGGATCAGAAAATTAGATATGACATATCTTAATTTTACTGCTAGGTTTATAATTACTAAAGAAAATCTAATCTAAACTTTGAAAATGTTAAGTGTTTTATTTAATCATTAAACAAATGGTGTTTTTATTGCTTATGTAGTACTCGACCATGGGACCCACTTAATGATATGATACAGTTCGAAAAAGATGGTGTTATCCAGACCAAAGTGAAACATCGCACTCCAATGGTATGTAATAAAAAAAGTATCTAGATCTGCTAGGCATAAAAAATGTTTTAAATCCTTACTAGGTTCTTTGACCACCAACATTTAAAATTTAGTTTCAGAATGATATCATTTATTATAAGATGCTTTCTACATTAATCAGATACTATTAGTAAATAATTTTATTGGAAACACATCATTCAGTGGAAATGTTTATAATTTTGGGAACAAGATAAGTATGATTAAAAAGAACACTATTATTTAACATTCAACTAGAGGTACTAACTGGTGCAGTTAGAAAAGTGGTGGATCTATATTTATATTTGTGTTTGTATTAAAATGTCTCTTAAAGGATATACAAATAGCAGTGACTATCTATTTGGGGGGGGTGGGGGGAGAAGACAATGTATAGGGATCAGGAGTGGGAGAGGAACTCTTCGTTGTATATCTTTTATGCTTTTTGATATTTGTGCCAAATTAATATTTCCTATTAAAATGAAATAAAATAGCCCTTGGCCAGGTAGCTCAGTTGGTTGGAGCATTGTCCCTACACCACAAAGTTGTGGGTTCAATCCCCAGTAAGGGTATGTACAGGAAGCAGGCAACCAATTGATGTTTCCCTCTCACATTAATATCTCTCTCTCTCTCTCTCTCTCTCTCTCTCTCTCTCCCCTCTCTAAAATCAATAAACATATCCTTACTTGAGGATTAAAAAAGTAAATAAAATAATTTGTTAAGTTTTAATTAGACTATATCACCTTTGTTTTTATGTCTAAGTATTGTGCCATTGAACAGATAGTTTCAACAGTTGTACATTGGTCTTTAAAATTCAATGCAAATTCACATAATAGCATGTTTGTTTTCAGGTTAGTGTCCCGAAAATGAAACATAAGCCAACCAGACAACAGAAGAAAGTGGCAAAAGGCTATTCATCTCCAGAACCTGATATCCAGGACTCATCTGGAAGTGAAGGTAAAAATATTTATTGCAGACTATTCACTATAGGAATCTAATTTTTTAAAAAAGATATTACTACACTATGTTTGATAGATGAAAATTTTTTATGTTAATTTAAGAAGATATGTAAAAGTTTTGGTGGGGGCAGGAATGGTGTGCCAAAAAAATGTTTTTAATCCCTATTTTAGATTATAGATAAATTTTAAGACCAGGCCACAGGTAAAGGCATGGGGTATGGAAAAAGGGGGAAGCGTGCAAATCAAGAACCACACTGTAGTGTTGCTCTTATGCCTGGTTAAGCTTCTGAAAAATTGTTGATGGCTTCCTAGATTCAATTCAGGAAGCATTTTTGAGCTTTGAGCTTAGTTCCATGCTTTAAAAAGTTTTTCATTCTCTAAATAAATTGTTGTAGTTATAGAAGTCAAGTAAATATATAGCTATACTAAAATTATGGGCTAAATTAACTAGTGTGCCATTCTTGTTCAAATCAGATGTGTAAACTGTGTTGAACTACACAGAGTTATAATCAAGAAAGGATTAAAGTAATGTCTGAGACACTATGAGAACAGGTTTTTTTGTTTTTTGGTTTTTTTTTAATATATATTTTTATTGATTTTAGAGAGGAAGGGAGAGGGAGAGAGATAGAAACATCAATGATGAGAGAGAATCATTGATTGGCTGCCTCCTGCACGACCCCTACTGGGGATCGAGCCTGCAACCCAGGCATGTGCCCTTGGCCAGAATCGAACCTGGGACCCTTCAGTCCGCAGGCTGACGCTCTATCCATTGAGCCAAACCAGCTAGGGCGAGAACAGGTTTTTTAAAGGCATAGTCTTTAATCTCACACTAAACTGGGGAGCTCATTTTTATAGAGGTAACACTTGAGGTGAATAAATGATAAATACCAGGAAAGTAGTAGAAGAAAAATAGTTAAGAGTTGAAAGGTAGTTGAATTCAGTTTGGGGAAATGTTCTTAGAGGAACTCTGATGAATTTATAATGAATTATAATATAAGCTTGAGAAATGCAGGTAGGGAACAAGCTACTGGAATAACGAGGAATAGACTGAATAAAGGTTTAAAAGCAGGAATTGCATGGTACCCATGTGCTAGAGGGAGTGTTTGATACACTGTTGTTCCCATTTTAGAGAAAAGGAAACTAAGATACAGGTTAATCTGCCCAAGGACATATATCATCCCATAAGACAGTATATATGTTATGTAAGCAGATATTTTGGCTCCTTAATTTACTCTCTTCTCTTATCCCTCCACTATATTACCTATAATGTATCAGCTGTCATTTATTGAGTACTTAAAGTGTACCAAACTGGATGTTAAACACACATTACTACTATGAAATTTGGGTGTTAATTATACCTATTTTACAAATGAGAAAGCTGAGACCTGGAGAGAGGTTAAGATCTGAACAAAAATGGAAAGGAAGGAATAGATACATTCGGGGAATTAGAAAAAAAACAAAACACCAGTACAGTTTGCTGGTTGATAATAAAAGTGTATAGAAGTATCAAAACCAATTGAAAAAGTTTTTTTTTTTTTTAATATATTTTATTGATTTTTTACAGAGAGGAAGGGAGAGAGATAGAGAGTTAGAAACATCGATGAGAGAGAAACATCGATCAGCTGCCTCCTGCACACCTCCTACTGGGGATGTGCCCGCAACCCAGGTACATGCCCTTGACCGGAATCGAACCTGGGACCTTTCAGTCCGCAGGCCAACGCTCTATCCACTGAGCCAAACCGGTTTCGGCAATTGAAAAAGTTTAAAGTTTGGGTGACTAGGGGAATAAAGATAGCATTAACAACTAATATAAAATTGAAAAAGGGGCTCAAAAAGCTGACTTCCTCAGATGAAGGCAAATGGGCAAAGAGATAGAAGAGAGTAATACCTTCCCAAGTTAATATATGTATTTATTGAGCTATTTTTGTCTGTTTTAATTAGTTAAAAAATAAAACTGATACCATCCAAAACTACTACTTTGTGGTTACTTTAAATATATCTGTAGTGTTCTAGTTTTGGAATGATATGATTAAAACTTCAAAAATGCAGAGTATTTGTATTATTATGTTAATCTCTAAACCATAAAAATGGTGCCTGGGAAAATTTTTATTATATCAGAATCATTAAGCTACAATGTAGATTGTTTATAATTAAATATGTTCACTATTTTCACCATGTTTATTCTAAATATCCTTTTAGCTCAACCAGTAAAACCAAGTACAAGAAGAAAGAAAGGAATAGACTTGGGAGACATTCAGAATTCCATTGAATCCATAAAACAAGCACAGGAAGAAATTAAAAGGTAATACATGCTGACTATTCATTTGAGTCCAGAGGTGTAGTTTAGAATCCTGTTACATAGGAAATCATAGGCCAATATTTTGCAAATCATTTACATTTTTAATATCATTACTAAACTAAAATAGAGCCTTGGCTTCTGTCACCTGATGACTGAAATGCATGAAAATCTTTCAGCACTAAAATATTGGGGAAGATGTTGAGATTGCTTTTTCTCATCTCTGAGCATGAAATTGGAATCTCTTGATCTTATTGCTGTAGCATACTAAGAATGCAGCTGACCTGGATGTGGAAGTGGGTGATTTCTGAGAAAGGCCATTAACAAAGGCTTCTGCAGTCTCCTTTGTTCATGGCTAATATTTAATTGCAATGCACCAGTTGAAATATTGAATTACTTTCACATGTGGATAAAGAGCCACTACCCTGAGACCTTCATGTGCCCCACTGGCAGTCCCAGACCTTTTCCCCACACACCTCCCAGATCCAGCAACTAAAAGTCATTCACACCTACACAGGTTCCTTGGAGGGAAAAGGAACTTACACTGCTCCTTGCTAAAGCTAGCATGAGTTCAGATCAATTGTCTCCCATTGCTGTATCAGATGTTAATTTTTTTTAATACTAGCCAACCTGCTTTTGTATATTCAGTACTTAGCACTAGATGTTCTGGAAGATTTTTTTCAAAGATATTTTCTCTTTTCATAGTGATCTTATAACTCATATTTAGTTGCTATTTTCATCCACAGCCTCATCTCCTGCCATTCCCCTACCCCGTGGTCGGCAAACTGCAGCTCACGAGCCACATGCGGCTCTTTGGCCCCTTGAGTCTGGCTCTTCCACAAAATACCACATGCGGGCGCGCACATACAGTGCGAGTGAAACTTCGTGGCCCATGCGCAGAAGTCGGTGTTTTGTGGAAGAGCCACACTCAAGGAGCCAAAGAGCCGCATGTGGCTCGCGAGCCGTAGTTTGCCAAGCCGCAGTCTGCCGACCACTGCCCTACACCAAGCATGTCAAACTCAAAGGCTAACACAGGCCAAATAAACAAGGTTTAAGTTTATGTGGGCCACAAAAAAACAAAAGCTTCAATTTTTATCGAAGCGTAGGTTTATTTTGATAGAGACATGCTGAATACAAGGGCTGAAATAAATGAGTAATTGTTAGCATAAAATAATAGAACATTTTAATAAAAATTAATATTTTTTTCTTGAGCATTAATTTACCAGACACTGAATAACTGCACAAATTAATAAGCATAACGCAAATAAACCTATTTTTCTTGTTCTCTGAAAGCGAAATATTTCCTGTTACGCACACCGAACAAGTCAATCCAAGACTAAATACGTGGCCATTGGCTGCTAAAATATTCGCTGCTGGTATTAGTGGAGAGAAATGGTGTGCCTGTGCATAAGGCGAGTAAGGGAAATGAATGCAACACAATTATAGTGATCAGTCATTAGTGAACGTTGTAGTTCATTTTTAATAATTATGTGTAACAGGATATTGTAAAAATTAAATTACGAAATTTTTATTAAAACGTTTCTTACATACCGTTATATTGGCTGGGCCGCAAAAACGTTCGTTGTGGGCCGTAAGTTTGACATGCTTGCACTACACCTATCCCATACTTAAGTCCTATGAATCTCCTCACATCTTCAGACTATACTCTTCTCTCGCATCTTTGGATTTTTGCCCACACTGAACCCACTTCTTAGATGGCCCTTCCTCCCACCCTGGCCATCAAAAAATCCCTGTTTATCCTTCAGAATATAACTCAAATGCCACCCTTTTTGTAACATGTCTCATCACTTACCTTCCCCTGTAGGGTTATTAATGCCTCCACTCAGCTTGTTTAGCTCTCTGTACATATTCCTTTGGAGCATGACTCTATCAAAATAAACCTACACTTTGATAAAAATTGAAGCTTTTGTATGTGTCTGTTTATCCCTGCTGGACCATGAGCTCCTCTAGAGCAGAGAGCCTGTTTTCTGCATCTTGGTATCATTGACCCTAACATAATGTGCTCACATTTTCTAATTTAATTATATTTATAAATTGAGTCTACTTTTTTGTTTTGCCTCCTTTTCTTTCTCTATAGTGGTAAGACACTTTAATAGAAGAAGTCAGAAAAAGAAAAGGTCTTCACTAATCAGCTCTTTTTAGCCAAAAGCAGTTAGGGTGGCATGAGGATATTTTAAACTCACTTCATAACTAAATTGACATTTTATTTTTATTTGCATATGAAATGTCCATAGAGCATTCTCTAAGTTATGAACGTCATGAAATCTGTTGCATTATTTTTTTCTGGGTAATTTAGGATTTTTCTTCAATTCCACCTCTGTCTTCCGAAAGTAAAGATAAAGAACCTTAGTGGGCCAACTAAGACGCAAAATTTTTGTTTTAAAGCCACTGTAATAACAGAGAAGGTGATATATTTCTACATCATCAAACTAATAATTATGTTTGATGCACAGCATTAAGTAATATATTTGGTACAATGTGGAATATAGATTTAGACAAGACCTAATAATAGCTCCACATAGCATAATCAGCTCCTTGTTCAGGCAGCAGTGATTGAGATAGTTACTTTTGTTACTGTAATTAAGTGCTCTGTGGCCATATATGAAATTATGAGTTCTGTGCTAACATTTTTCACAAATAATTTAAAAATTTACTGTTGCTTATTTTTGTAGAAATATTACGGCTCTTCGAAATCATTTAGTTTCAAGCGCACCTACCACGGATTATTTTTTGCAACAAAAAGACTACTTCATCATTTTCCTCCTGATTTTGCTTCAAGTTGTAATAAACTTCATGTTTAAATAGTTCTTTACAGTAAACTATTCAATGAACTGGAATGATCAGATTCGGCCTGGGATCAATGTTCAAGTTGGTTCAGTTTTATTAAAACATCGTTATATTTCTGAAACAAAACCTTAGAGATAAATGCAGAGGTGTTGATCTTTCATACCTTTTATTTTTAACCTGAAACAAGAGCTATTCTGTTTGGTTATTAAAGTGAGCTATGTGTTACGTGCCAGAACATTTCTAGTTTTTGTGAGAATGTGTTTACATGTGAGTATAATAAATCCACATGTATACACAACTGTGTCTTATGTATACCTGATAGTCTTTGTATTCTATAGTATGTTCTGAGATATAGCACTAATGGTCATAACAAAAATGTTATCAATATTATAAATATGTGTATTAACTCTTTTCTTCATAACAGGCACAAACTTTTATCAGTCAGGAATTACAAAATAGGAAATGATGGGATAATAAACATATTATAAATAGTTCAATACACTCTAGTGTTTAAAAAAATCATTTCCCAAAATAAAAATAAATTTTAAAAAATCATTTCCCAAGCACCTAGCTCAATAGTCTTAGACAAAGCAAGAAAAAGTGGTCAAAATTGATATATTGAGAGACACAAGGTGGCAACTTGCTTTTTTTAAAGTTTACACAAGATTATTTTTTTTTGCCCCCTCTAATTTAATATTTATAAAGGTACAAATGTACACAGGTGTATGTCAATATAAAAAAAAGGTATACAGCTACTTGGAGCTTTCTTACATCTATATAATACTACCTTAAGCACTTGCTGATAAAAGTGTGGTCAAAATTGGTTGCTGTCCTTTTTTCTTATTTTTGTTTTTTAATTCAATCTGATAACACAGGCCAAATTCTAGAGATGTTTATATGGCAGCGATTTTCAGCCTTTTTCATCTTATGGCACCCATAAACTAATTACTAAAATTCTGTAGCACACCAAAAAATAAATATTGTGCTGATCTGACAAAAAATAGATATAATTTTGATTCATTTACACTGGACAGCTGTTGTATTGGCTGTTGTCATTTTTTACTTGACAATCTAAGGAAAAAAAGATCAGTGCCCCTGAACAAATAGTCAGATATTGCATGTTTTAGAAATTCTTGCAGAAAAAAAAATTCTGTGGCACACCAGTGTGCCTGCCACAGCACACCAGTTGAAAATTGTAATTATAAGGCATATGAAATGCTGAAAATTCATGTTTTTTTCATTATGAAGAACTTATTTTAGCTTTCATTTAGACTGTAGTGTGCTCAGTGAATAAATAGGAGAAATTATAACCAACATTTTATTTTAAAAGCCGAATAAAAGAAAGATGCTTTGTATGGTGGCATTTATATGTACAATAAAATTAGTTTCTTTAAAATGTGCAATAAGTTGAGCATCTAAGAAGAGCATCAAGTTCTGAAGTTTAATTTTTTATTCTCCTTGGTTCTTAGTAACTTCATTCTGTTACAAAACCATAATTCTTCAAGATTCCTTTTGTTCAGGCTCAGACAAACTTTTCCTACTTTTCTTTTCAGGTTAATATTTTTACTTTATGTTTTTTACATAAATGTAGTCCTCAAAAGCCATTTTTACAAATGTAAATTAAGTGTAGGAACGTGTTCTAAGATATATCTTAGAAACCTGAAAATATCAATTTTGAAAATAAAGGCAGAATAATTGCTCTGGCTACATTTGCCTTTGGCTAAGAAGAGACTGTTAGACACTAGTAAAATTACAATCAGCTGTTTATTGCCATGATAAATATAAAATCAAAGAATGGTTGCTAAATTATGAAAATTGAAAATGATAAAAGGAGCCTGCTTTCCCCCTCCCCCTAACCATTATAGCTATCTTAAATATTCTAAAGTTTTATGAAGAGCCATTTCCTGTGTATTTTTGGCAAAAAAAATGTATTCCATATGTGCATGTGAAACATAGTTTAAATTGATTAAAACATAAATAAGATGTACCTATACCTAGTATAAGTATAGGTATAATGTGACTACACTAGAACAAGTGGGGGATTTTTGCTTGTATTTCATTCTTGTCGATACAATTTTTGTACTCTCTGTTACCAATGTTATGCTCAACTGCCTATTCACTGATATATATTTTGTAAATATTGTACAATTTGATCTTTTTTATGGTTTAAATTAGTATTAATTTATATTACATATAACTTAATTGGCTGATCACAAAGTCATTTCATCATTAAACCCTGAAAACTTAACATTTTTGTTGGTAACCCCCTTTTGGGGTTTTAGTCTTAGCTGCTTGTGGGTTATTTACATTTGGTCTAAATAGTGTTTATTTGTATAGGTATCTTCTAAGACTGGAAACATATTTATTTACTTTATTATTTTCCTTTAGGGCAGATGTTATGGGTTCTGATTACCCAACGAGTCAAAAACTATTTCATGAGAAAGCAGGGTTACTTATGACTGTTCCTTATACACTAAAAGCATATATCTAATCCAAAGGTCTTCTTATGCTTTTAGTTGTATGAGTTCCTTTCTGCAAACTGAACACAAAACTCAGGAATTGGTGGCTTAGTTTTAGATCAGTGCTTATACCAGGTTTAGTGTGTGAATCTTTTAAAACACAAAATTAACTTTGTAGTTAGCCATATATGTTACTGACTTTGAATGTGCTCTACCTGGAATTACTCTTCCTTCACACATGGATTCATAAAAATTGTGATTTACAGTTCTCAGTTGTCTGAGAACTTTATAATGATTTCTAGGATTTAAGATCTTATATCCTGTTTATTTTCATTTGATCAAAAATTTTATTTTTTCACATGAAAATTAAGGTGGTAATTGACATGTGCATTTCTATTTTGGTTGTTAAGTGTATTATACGTTCAGTTATTCACCATTTAATGAGGGGTAACTGGCCCAGGAAAAGACAATAAACAGGGCATGTGAAATAAGTAAGTTTCAGCAATAGATATTTACTGTATTTCATGTCAGTACTTTTTGTATCATTTATAAAGTGTAAACTTTGTCACCATTCCATTGAAAAAGTTGGCCTTGTAAAATACAACCCTCATTTAGTAGTATTCACGCTTTTGTGCCTTTAAGAAAATACTTTTACTCATTTTGTGTTACAGAACTATATAATATGATTCAAAGTGTTTATAGGCTTACGTGTCATTAAGGGTCATTTCTCTTTGTCACCTTATTTCCTTTTATATAGCTAAGTATATTTCAATGGTAATGCTGTACTTTTATAAGGGTTTGTCTATTTACCTATTTCAAATATATTCACTCTCAACATCATTGAAGTAGACTTGTGAGATTATTCTGAGTATTGTAAACAGTGCCTTTCTGATGGAATTCACACTGTTTTGGGTGTCAACTTGTGCCATAAATACACAAAATTCTGTGAAAGGCAGTTTTAACTTTTTGAAGAATATCTTAGTCAAATATTTAAGAAAATAAATGTTTAAAATTCCATTTTCCTAGTGTTTAGCATTTCTAGTGAGCAGTGAATATATTTTTGGGGTTTGTTTGACATAAGTTGATAATGACATTGCTGTTGAGCCATATATGATGCTCTAGATTATTTTGAATTATGCTAAATGTACAGAACTAAAATATTAAAATTAGCATTTATACCAAATTTTCCAATTTGAACCGATGGTGGGAGAGGACCCCACACAAATCACTAAGTTTACATTTCAACTTCTGATTACATGGAAAAAGAGATTCTTTAAAAATATATAATCTGCCGCTATTATGTAATTTGGTTTCATTTTGTTTACCTATAGTGTGAATTTAGTATATTTAATTTACTTTTTGTTACTCTTAATATAGCTTGTTTTGTTACAGTTTTTATTTGAAGACAGACTATTAAAATTGTATAGGACCAGTTATCTCCTTAATATGATTTACATAGTTAGAAGAGCCACAAGAACCCCATGACAAAATGAATGTGAATATACTTTCTAAAAAATTCAGAAAATTTTATCTTTCTGCATTTATCATGTAAAATTATTTTAGTATTATAATGTTGAAATTTATTTAAAGAAAAATGCCACAAGACATTTGAACTGATGAGCCACAGAATGTCAGTTGAAAATTTTTTCACTTTTTAGCATGCTAAATATACATCTAAGTTAAATATTCTGATTGATGGCCACTTATAAATTCACACTACCACTGGTCAGTTTGTATAACAGAATAAAAGTATGTTATCTGCAGTGTAAGTATAGCACACTGTCAAATTATTTTCCTTGAGGTGCATCGTAAATGTACAGATAGTCATAGGCTACTGTTTTGTAATGTATTACATTTCTAATCTATTATTCCTAACCTATTATGTGTGCAGAGACAAAGAATTGAATTTTTCTAATGATCTGTAAAATTATGCTAACTTCTACAAGTAGGCATTCTAAATAAAATTTTAAAAAAGCAAATTGTGATCAAATGACTTTGAATATAACACATTAAATTACTAGTCCTAATTTTTTAATTAAAAATTTTAATGGGTGTAGTTGTGAAGGATGGTGCAGGGTTTGGAAGGGATTTAACAGAATCCCTAATGCTTGCTTTACTTGGTACTTTATATTCATTTCTCTTTGAGTACTCATAATAACCTTAAGGTAAGTGGAAGTTAACCCGATTTTATAGAGGAAGAATCTGAGGCTCAGAGAAGTTAAATGATTCCAAAAGCTTCATAGAGTAAGGGTAATAACAAGCACAAGTTTGGATCCAAGTCTAACTGCAGCGTCCATTGCTTTTTCACTGCACTTAAAGAGAACTCTGCACCACTTTTAAATGTTTGGAATAATCCTCTGCTCTAATCTTAATATTGAGTAATGTAACCCCTTTGCGATGGGTAGAACCAGAAAAAAAACAACACAACTTACTATTAAAGAAGCATACACACAAAACCCATATGAAAAAGGTTTTTCCTCTTAAATCACTTTTATGTCTATAATATCAGATAAGTTCCAAGAAATGACTCTTCTCTGGTTTTCCTCATCCTCTTGCCCTCCCCTTCTTGCTCTCTCCTCAGGGTCCAGTGGCTTCTGGCTAATAGTCAGTTGGTTCTGTCTTGTTAATTGGGGGAAGGGAGGGAAGGGCTTATAGCTTTTGGAACACAGGAGTAAGGGGCAAGGAAAACAGCCCCTCACTGTTCGACCTCAATGAAAAAAATATACAAGATGCTTTTCTTACTGATAATTGGCCACACTCTGGGATGTCCTGTTATGCTATTACCCTAATCGATTCTTCTGCACCTTACAGAATATCCCTTTCTTGTAGATAGTAAGCCCATACAGGTGACATGTCACAGCAACTTGGTGGGTGAGCTCTTAGGTATAGACTGTTGAGTGCCTAGAATATGCTGGCACCATGCAAAAAGGCACTCTGTAAACACTGTCACCCTCCTCAAAACGTTGAGATTTTTCATATACATCCTATTCTCTCCATTTGTGTAAATCTGAGAGATTTTGGAGGCAGAAATACTTGCTGGCAGATAAATAGCAGAGCAAATCCCAGATCTAAACCTTAAGCCCATGCTCTTGACCACTTCATCTTTGAGTGTCTTAATACGTAAAACAGTATGTTCCTCTGCCTAACACTATGTTTTCCTTTCCTGCCGCTGGGCTGTACCCAGTAATGTTAGAGCACTGTGTGTTTAAAGCATCCCACTGACCACTAACCAATGTGGCCAAGTATTCACGTCACCTCTGCTAAAGTTCAACAAAATTACGGTGGCGGGCATGTCACAGTGATGCCCGAGTCCAGGAAGTGCGGGAAGGAGCCCTGCGCAAAGCAGAGAGCCTGCAGCTGTGACCCTACCCAGGCCCCCGCCCTCTATCCTGCAACCCCAAATCGCTTTCGTGAACGGAAGGAGAGCAGCTGGCGGATGTGGGTCCAGGGCAGAGGTTTTGCTGCGAAACCACGAGGAGCTTGGAACGAGCCGAGTCGGCCCCGCCGCGTCCCTCTCCTCCCTCCCAGGGGCTCCACTGACGCGCCGACGGCGGGAGCAAGGACGCGGGGAGGGGGGTTCACCCACCCAGCGCCCTGGGGAAGGGGAAGGGATCGCGGGTTCGGGGCTGGGCAGCCCCGGGAAGGCCACACGCTTCCTGATCATCGCGGGCTACTGGACCGCCGCGCAGCCGTCTGATGAGTGGGTGGAGGGACCGTCTCCTCGCCCCGCTTTCCGGCGTCCTCCCCGCCCTTTCCGCTTCCTGCCATGCCGCGCCCCCCCCCCTCCCCCCCAGGCTGCCCGGGGCTTCTGCCAACAGCCCGACCGCGACCCGCAGGGCTATGGCTGCCGAAGGGTCTGTGCAGGTGGCGTTGCAGGTCGCGCAGGCGCTGGAAACCATCGTGAGCGGCTGCGTGGGGCCCGAGGGCCGGCAGGTCCTGTGCACGAAGCCCACCGGCGAGGTGCTGCTCAGCCGGGACGGAGGCCGCCTCCTGGCGGCGCTTCACCTAGAGCATCCCCTGGCCAGGTACCCGCGTCCCCCGTCCGCCCGGAGCGCCCTCTGAGCGGTCGCCCAGGCCGCCTCCCGGCGCTCCGTGCCCCTGCGGCCGTGCTGCTGGAAAAAGCTGCCTTTGGGTGAGGCCATGTGTGCGCTGGGCTGGAGCGCTGCCCCGGCGAACACCGCACTGACACCAGATCTCACCAGCTCCTAACGTTCCTCACTCCCGCCGCAGCCGATCCCAGGCTCTAGGACTCCCAGTAACTTGGAGAAGGAAAAACTAAACCTAAGGGCATAGCAGAGGGACAGCATCCTCATTTTATGCCGACAGCTGTGAAAACGTGGTTTCAATTTGGTCTAGGTGTAGGAAGGCAGCCACTGAAAATCTGAGTTGCTTTATTTCTTTTTTGTGCAGGGTGATGGTGGCGTGTGTTTCCAGCCATCTAAGAAAAACAGGAGACGGTGCTAAGACATTCATTATCTTTCTTTGCCATTTGCTCAGAGGACTTCACGCAGCCACAGACAAAGAAAAAGATTCTTTGATTTCCAAACATAGTCACACTCACGGAAGGCATTGGAAAACTTGTTGTCGGTGGAAATTTATTTCCCAAGCTCTTCTAACGTTTCAGACACAAGTATTAGACCGTGTTGTGGACGAGTGTTTGAGTAGACACTTTCTGTCCATCTTTTCTTCCTCCACTAAAGGGAGGAGGTTGTGTAGGAGCTCTTTCCAGTTGCTCTTAGAAGCATACTTTGGTGGAAGAGTGGGAAGAAATAATCACAGCTTTATTTCACAGTTGATGTGCGACTACTTTTTCCAGTGTATGGCTTGTGAAAGTGGGTGTGAAGAGGTATCTGAGTTAGTGGATGACTGTTTCGTAGAGCTGAACATTGGTGTCACTGGCCTTCCTGTTTCAGATTCCAGGATCGTGGCTGGGCTTGTGCTTCACAGAGACTTTTCTGTGTACTGTCCAGCAGATGGTGACATAAGAATAGCATTCGTAACGGAAACCATTCAGCCTCTCTTTTCAACCTCTGGATCAGAGTTCATTCTAAATTCAGAGGCACAGTTTCAGACCTCTCAATTTTGGATTATGGAAAAGACAAAAGCAATCATGAAAAGCTTACAGAGTCAAAATGTAAAATTGCTCCTATCTAGTGTGAAACAACCAGACTTAGTTATTTATTATGCAGGGTTGAATGGCTTATCAGTGGTGGAATGTTTATCATCGGAAGAAATTTCTCTTATTCAGAGGATCATTGGTCTTTCTCCCTTTGTACTGCCACAAGCCTCTTCGCAGTATGAAATCTCCAGCACTGCTTTGGTGAAATTTTGTAAGCCCCTTATCCTTAGATCCAAAAGGTATGTTCATCTTGGCTTGATTAGCACATGTTCATTTATACCACACTGTATGGTTCTTTGTGGACCGGTGCAGGGTCTTGTTGAACAACATGAGGGTGCTTTACATGGAGCGTTTAAAATGCTTCGGCAGTTATTTAAAGACCTTGATCTGAGTTACACGACACAAACCAGTGGCCAAAATTATACATCAAGTCCTCTTATTTATAAGAATAGGGAAAGTAATCAGTTGCCAGAAATTGTTAGTGGCTCAATACAAAGGCCACCTCAGGGCACAGTTGAAAAGAACGAAGGTGAACTGGCAAAAACTCACACATATTTAAAAGTACATTCAAATTTGGTAGTTCCAAGTGTAGGATCAGAAACATGTATTTCTTGTTCAACACCAAAAGTGACACCAGCAGATATACACCAGACAGATGAAACACGGAGATGTTTATCTGCGAACAAAACCAGGATAATTGATGACCGTGATTCGTTTATTGAGAGTGATCCTACTACTGAGTCAACAGAAGAAAACACTAGAGTAGAAGCTTCTTATGAAAATTTATCGATCACGAAAATGGCTGGAAAGGGAAGTCTGTTACCAGTGAGATGTAAGCTACTGGAGATGCGTGCTTCCCGGAGCTACTCTTTCTCATCTATACCAGCAGGTTGTGTTTTGCCAGTGGGTGGTAATTTTGAGATCTTGTTACATTACTATCTTCTCAACTATGTCAAAAAATGCCAGCAATCTGAAGCAACCATGGTTGGTATGATAATAGCTAACGCACTTTTAGGCATTCCCAGAATCCTGTATAAATCTAAGAAAGGAAATCAGAGCTTTCCACTTGTATATGTAAGAGCTCTCCAAGCACTGCAAACCAACCAACCCATGGGAAGCAGTCAGACAGGTTTGGAATCAGTATCTGGTAAATACCAGTTACTAACTTCAGTTCTTCAGTGTTTGGCAAAAATTTTAACCATTGATTTGGTAATCAGTATTAAGAGACAGCCTCAGGAAATTTATGATCAAGAGTCAGAAGAAGAGCTATGAAGTTGGAAAGTCTTTATTAAAAAACAGTTATAATCCAAATCAAGCCATAAAGCAAAGCAGGCATATGACTATTGATTCTCAAGTCAGTTCAGTCTAGGTAGGAAAACAGCATGATTTAAAAAGTCTTTCGAGGAAGTACACTAAGAGGCCAGCAGACATTCAGACAGAAATATTAGATTGTTATGGAACAATTCTGAGGATAAAGCCTCCTGGCTGAGGGAAGCTAAGACCTGACTAAGTGTGTTCCTCCCCCCCACACAGACACCTCTTAATGTCCCTGTGTTTCATCTCTGTGTCAGTTTGTGTGTTTAAGGGAGGGGGTTTCATTAGAGCGCCTTTTCACTCTCCATCTCTGTTCCCTCGCTTGTCTGTATTTAGTTCATAGAATCATTTAATCTCAGATCTGGATGAGGTCTTCAAATGCCATCCTATTTTAATTGTTTATATTATTTACTTCATTTAAAATAATTACTCATGATTTCTAAAGCAATGAGTACAAAATCTCTATTCCTTTCTCAAAAAACATAAATCAAATTGGTTAGTACTTCCATATGGTCCCTTGTTTATTTCCATTGCATTGGAAAGCCTGGAGAGTGTCTGACCCTCCATACGCCATTGAAGATATGCTACTCAGAATAGGACTTTGTGCACTGTGAACTTATTTTCATTTTTGTAGTTAAGAGTTAATTCCAGAAAGGATATGAATTCATACTTTAACTTTTTCCTGGCCCCTAAGAGCTTGTAAAAATAATTAATGTTTTTGCTGGTTTTTTCTTGTACTTGGTGCATGGCCAGACTTTAGTAGTAACAAATAATTTAAGAATTACTTATTTCCTGAGTGAATTTTAAATGTTTTTATTTTATTTGAAAGGGTTATAAATGCAAGTAATGTGCATCTACCCTTGAATAAGACAGTGTCTTCTACTTTTAGTTCTCTGTAACACCCACGACAATACTGTTTATACCAAGTACTCAGAAGTGTTTGTTGAATAAAACTGTTATCTTTAATCTGTTCTCCTAAGTGCATATTTCCAATGTAGTAATTCAACAAATTCTTGATGAGGCTTACAATATGCAGGTGCTGAATAGACCCCGGCAAACAAATACTGTAGATATGGTTCCTGCCTTCACGCACCTTTCCTCAACGGTGAATGGGTAGATAGTGACACTACTTGGATTGGGATTAAATTTAGGAAAACTGACTTTTAAAAATTTAATTACAGTTAAACTTGAAAAAGTGGAGACTAATAATGTATTTAGAAATTATACTCCAACATCTTATAATGCAATATCTCAGTCTTTTACAATAAATATAAATCCTACCTAATAATAGACAAACATGGTAATTAACCGTACCTTCGCCACGCCTCCCATTGGCTAATCAGCATGATATGTAAATTAACCGCCAACCAAGATGGCGGCCGGCAGCCACACAGCTGAAGCGAGCAGGAGGCTTGCTTGCTCCAGTGATGGAGGAAGCCAAGGTTCCCCACCTGCCGCGGCCCGGCTCTGAGCTCCGAAAGCAACAAAGTTTCAATTATAGAAGCTAAACAAACTCCAGATACCTGCTTTCAGCAGGCCGTGGCCACGGAGCTGGAGCCGGCTCTTAGCTCCAGTGACGGCAACAAAGTTTCCATTATAGAAGGTAAATAAATCCCAGAATAAAAAAGAAAAAAAGGAGAGGCTGGGAGCTTCAGTCGCCGGCCAGCCTGAAAACGGCCCTCAGTCCCTCACCCAGACTGGCCAGGCACCCCAGTGGGGACCCCCACCCTGAAGGGGGTGTGACCAGCTACAAACAGCCATCAGCCCCTCATCCAGGCTGGCCAGGCACCCAAGCGGGACCCCCACCCTGATCTGGGACACCCTTCAGGGCAAACCAGCCGGCCCCCAACTGTGCACCAGGCCTCTATCCTATATAGTAAAAGGGTAATATGCAAACTGACCCTAACAGAAGAACGACTGGGAATGACTGGTCACTATGACACACACTGACCACCAGGGGGCAGACGCTCAATGCAGGTGCTGCCCTCTGGTGGTCAGTGCGCTCCCACATGGGGGAGCTCTGCTCAGCCACAAGCCAGGCTGATGGCTGCCAGTACAGCGGTGGTGGTGGGAGCCTCTCATGCCTCCTCAGCAGCACTAAGGATGTCTGACTGCAGCTTAGGTCTGCTCCCCGCTGGCAAGTGGACATCCCCTGAGGGCTGCCGGGCTGCCAGAGGAATATCTGATTGCCAGCTTAGGCCCAATCCCCCGGAGAGCAGGCCTAAGCCGGCAGTTGGTCATCCCCCGAGGGGTCCCAGACTGCGAGAGGGCACAGGCCGGGCTGAGGGACCCCTCCCCCTGAGTGCAAAAATTTTTGTGCACTGGGCCTCTAGTCCTATATAATAAAGAGGTGATATGCAAATTGACCGTCATACCCTCGCAAAAGATGGCTGCCCCCATGTGATCACAAGATGGCGGGCAGGGGAGGGCAGTTGGGGGCGACCAGGCCGCCCCCTGTAATGGGCAGTTGGGGGTGACTGCGCCGCCAGGGGAGTGGTTAGGCATCGT